CTTAAGCTTAACGGAGTTAGTGTAGCTCGAGAGAGTCTCTCGGGAGGCTGGATTAGCCACACGTTGTGGTGAACCAGGATAAAATTCGGTGTGCTCCTTCCTTACGCTCTTTACTTTTACGCTCTCGTTTTTAATTTCCTGCGATTTTGTTTTAAACGCTATTCACCCCCCCTCTAGCGTTGGGCCTTTATTCTAACAGTAGACACCTGGACCTAAGAGAATAGCTTAGAAAGTGTTGACAAGTGATTTTTACTGCCCAAATCTCCATAAGGATGCCCTTTATTTTTGTCAAAATTGTCCAAAATGCCAAAAATATTAGGGAATAACTAAAAGGGATCAAATGCCTTTGACACCAATATATGTTTGTGAAATTTTTTACGTATGGGGAATGGACATCATGGGGCCTTTTCTCTCTAAGGGTTTCGAGTACATTCTATTATTTGTAGATTATTTAGATGTATGGGTAGAAGCGCTATCTACTAAAAGAGATGACGCGAAAACTGTTAAGCAAATCCAATCTCTAATTTGGATTAGGTATGGATTCCCCAAAGCCTTCATACGTGATAGAAGAATCCATTTTTGCAATAAACTTATGACCGCTTTACGCTCACAGAACCATATTTCTCAAAGAGTCTCCACAGGTTACCGAACTAATAATGGGCAGGCTGAAATTTTAAATAAAGAAATAAAAGGAATTCTACAAAAGATAATAAGGCCTGAGAGGAAGGACTTGAGTGATAGGTTAGATTAAACCCTTTGGGCCTACATTACAACTTATAAGACCCCTTTAGGCATGTCACCTTATAGAGTGGTTTTTGGTAGAGCATGTCATCTTCTAGTAGAGCTTGAACATAAGTCATTTTGGGCTATTAAAAAGATAAATTTGGAAACCACCTTGGCTAGTCTTGAAATAAAACTGCAATTAAGTGAGCTAGAACAACTTAGGTTAGAAGCCTATGATAATTTTGTGATTTATAAAGGAAAGGCTAAAGCTTTTCATGATGCTAGATTAACCAGAAAAGAATTTAAAAAAGGGGATATGGTTCTCTTATGTAAGTCTAGGCTTCACCTTTTTGCTGGGAAACTAAGGTCTATATGGTTATGCCCCTTTGAAGTGTTTAAAACACACCCACATGGGACTGTAGAAATCTATAGTCCTAAAACAAACAAAACTCTCAAAGTAAATGGACACAAACTGAAAATGTTCCATGAAGCGGCTGTTGTGGGATTAATTGAAGAGGTAATTTTGGAAGAAGTTTAGATCTCACCTCAGCAGTGTCAAGCGAAAGAAATTAAATTGGGCTGGGAGGCAACCGATATTTATTTTCTCATTTTCTTTTATCACTGTTTTGTTTCCATTATAATATTTAACAAGTGTTCTAGATTCCTAAGCTTTTAAAGAGGCCTTGAAATTGGTAACTTGGTGTAGAGGGAGTCCTTTCAAACCCTACTTTTTGATACTTAATGTACTCCTTATTTCTCCGTTATAGATTGAATTGTTTTCAAAGGCTGAATTTTGGTAAGCTTTCAAGTTTCTTTTTTCCTACTCTTATGACTTATTTGGTATGGAGCTACGTTTTCTTCATAAGGAACATAAGGGGTTGAACATACAAATGAGATCAGCTTTACCTAATTTGAACTCATACTGGTTAAGCACACTTGAAGGTCACAAGAACATTTTAAAAAATATATATCAGTTTTCAGCAATTAGGCCTAAGTGATTTAGTCATTCTTCATACCTTTAAGCAGTTAAGCTATGTGTTGGGGATCAGTTGAATGATTGAAAACCAAGTTCTAACTATCTTTAGTTTGAAGGTTCACTAAAATGAGTCAAATCTTATTGAGCATTGGGGTAGGGGTGAATTAACAGAAGGGAATGAATTGGTTGATTCATGAACCGAATTTTTGGAAAACATTTTTTATTGGATATAGTTTAGGATGAGTTGTGTTGAGTTCCTCTTTTCCAAGTCTCTATTGTCATTAAAATCTGCTCAAGCTAGGAATGTTGTGGTCTTGGAGTAAAGGCTAAATTTCTAAAGTGAGTAAGGGACTTAGCTGAGAAATGACCAATCTAATTGGCATGGGTGGTATGGCACCTTTGACCACTTAAGAAACAAATATCAAAAGAAAATGAAGTTGTGCATGGAAAGAATTAGAGTACGGAGAGCAAACCCTTGAATAGGGCCATCTAAATCTCAAAATAAATCAGTTATCCCCTACATGCACTTCTCAACCAAGATGTTAATTGTTTTTTTCAAGCAAATTAAAAAATGAAAAAGAATTCCAAGTCCCAATTAATAAGTGAAAAAAATCTTCTAAGGCCTTGGTTATGTGCATAAACTTTAAGGACAAAACACTTGGACAATGATGTTCTTTAGTTTGAGTTGACAAAGAATGTTTGAGTTGGACAGTGATGTCCTTTAGTTTGTTCATTAAAATATGCTCAAGCTAGGAATGTTGTGATCTTGCAGTGTATGTAGGCCAAATTTCAAAAGTAAGGGACTTAGCAGAGATATGACCAATCTAATTGGCATAGGTGGTAATGACACCTTTGACCCCTTAAGTAAGAGATGCCAAAAGGAAATGAAGTTCTGTGTGGAAAGAATTAGAGTATGGAGAGCAAACCCCTGAATACGGCCATCTAAATCTCAAAATAAATCAGCTAACCCCTACCCCATGCACCTCTGGACCAAGAGATTAATTGTTTTTTTCAAGAAAATAAAAAAATGAAAAAAAATCCAAGTCCTAGTTAATAAGTGAAAAAAAAATCTTCTAAGGCCTTGATTATGTGCATAAACTTTAAGGGCGGAGCACTTGGAGAGTGATGTTCTTTAGTTTGCATAAACTCCCGGCGAGGAAACCCTCATTTCTCTTCTCTCTCCCTCTGCCTGATTGTAGTGATGTGATAATTTCCTTTTCCTCGATCCTTAGTCTGCGTAAATCACACGGGAGAGAGTGGATCAAGCCTATTCCTTTAACTCAATTGGGCTTCAATTAAACTCCAGCCCATTTACTCCCCCCTTCCAAAATAATACACACTTTAAATATTGTCCCAAAAATAATCAATTTAGAATTTTGGTTGTTAAAGTGTTAATTTTTTTTTCTTAAAAATACTCCAAGTGCTCAAATTCCCCTTTGGATAGATTTATCCTTAATAATCAAAATTTACACACAAAAATGGACTCTTATGCACAGAAATAAGGGTGGAAGTTGTATGTAAACATGAACCCAACAAATTTGAAGCTTGAAATGCCCTAACTAGTCTCACACAACATGAGGCACAACTCTCTGCAAAAATCTCCTGTTTCTCAACAATTTTTTTTTTCTAAATGATTTTGATCACTACCCCCCATAAACAATCGATTTAGATACTTTGAACCAGTCAAATTATTAACCTCCACTTTATTCCTACTTTAGTTGCAAAAGGTCATACTTAAAAAACGTGATGTTCTTTAAGGTCAACGTACTGGGGGAACGTACTGTTCACTCTGAATTATAGTGTTCATTTTCATACATTTATTCATTACAATCATTTACAAATAATTTAATTTCATTGTGAAACAATGTAGTGTTTACTCTCAAATAAAGTATTGTTCATTTTCAAGCACATAACATTCATACATGTCCAATAAGTAGGTGAAGCGTCTATTAGAGGAGCACAACGTTTTTTCTTCTTCCTGGAAGACCCGAATCTAGACTAGTGCCGAATACAACTAGGGTTTCCTCATCCATGGACACAGTGTTCGTGGCCGACCAAACTAGGGGTTCTTCCCCATCGATGCAATGGTCTTGATGCTACTCAACCTGGATTATCGCCATCACCGGTGCTCCATCGTTCCTTCGATTCCATTCCTAGTCACCATCGCCGGTGCTATATGAAAAATGCTATATTAACCCCAAAATATCAACGCCACTTTTAACTCCACTCCTCTACAAACCTTACACAGATTCACAGACATCCGACATTGTCCCGTGTCTGTAATGTCTGCAAAGTTTGTAAGAGTAGAGTTAAAAGTGAGGTTTATATTTTTGGAGTCAAGGTAGCAGGTACTCTATTTATATAGCTTAAAAAGATACTAACCAAAATTTAGCTCCAAAGTTTTCGGCTAAACGGTTCCTCAAGGATCGATTAAGTGCTTCCTTTTTTAAGTAAAATAGAAAAGAATAAATTATTTAAAAAACCAGCTTTTGAGCTCCCTTCAATTGCAAGCATATTATTAACAAGAACAAAAAGATTGACACACAAAAAAAAAGTCAACAAAAAGATCTAAAAACCCAAGACTTCAAGTAGCAATCAATGTACTCCTGCCAAAGGTCCGTACTTTCACATAAAAACCTACTTATATACACCACTTTTAACACCACTTTTGACACTAACCTTCTTGCAGACATTACAACATTTGGCACTATTTCGTGTCTATGCATGTCTGTAAGTAAGTTGGTGTCAAAAGTGGTACCCCACGCATAATTCACACAGTTATGTTACTCAAAGCTTTAGTGTAAAGAGTATGGTTTACACAGTGTAACAGTAGTTGGAGTTGCCATGGGAGTTTCATAGGGTTGGTTGTTTGGGAGGATCTCCTTGGCGCCCAGAGGTCCATCGTCGTCCTATTTTGAGTTTGTAGGTTTAGGCCATGTTCCAAATTTGAATCTGCTTCCAGTTTTCTTAACCTGCCAGACCAACATTAGGAGTTTTTTCCACTAGTTAGCATAGTCTTCACGCATATATAATAATGTAGTTTTCAAATGGAAAACAGAAAAATTAGGAGGTGAAGATTCATTCACCAACATTTCTTCTTAATCATATCATATCTCAATGGAAATGACATGCTCTATCCCTTCTAAGACAAGGGTATGGTCACCCAAGGGCAGTATTCTCTTCCCTTCCTCATTCCCAAAGCTGAGATGCTCGCAAGGGTTGATAAAGATGCTTGTTTCAGCAGTCTCGTTTGCAGAGACATGGACTCGATCAAATCCAATCAACTGTTTCTGCGGAGCTCCTTCAATAACGCGAGACGACACTCGAGAAAATAACATCACCACACAGCTTCCATCCATGTCTCCATCATTCGTCAAAGAAATCTTCACTGAGAAACTTAACAACTCACAGTTTAAGACTTCATCCACAAGAACAAATTGGGGTTCATTGCCCCTCAAGTTGAGAATGCTCCTAAATTTCGTCACGCTGGATCTAGTAGATAGGCTTAATCTGCTAGGTGCTGATAAGAACTCAAGAGTAAAATTTGTATAGCTTAGTCCATGTCCAAATTTGTAAACTGTGTCCCCCGTGTAAAACCGATACGTTCTTCCAGGATAACCGCGGGAGGGATCTGCCCTCATGCTCATGTCATTCATTGGGACATTACTGAATGACTCGGGATACCAAGTCACAGGCAGTCTCCCAGCTGTTCATGTTGGAAACACTATAAGTTACAATGTAAGATCATCTCACTGAAAGCAAATTATAGATTATTCAGATGCCGCAATCACAGAACATAATCAATCATGAATCAACGGGAAGCTTAAAGTCCAATTTCTATATTTGATTAGATATAAGAAACTAAGCTTAGAACCAAAATCCGACTAGAACTGCATCCACTTCAACCCTCCTCCATCCCATTAATTTGCATAATTTAAAACTAATAAACTATATTAAAACCTATACGCTCCAAGTCCCTACTATCTTTGTCCTTTTTTACCATTTTGTCCTTAGTATCATTGTCTCGTTTCATAGTTATTATATTTGAGAGGTCCAGAATCATCCTATCTTTACCCATTCTTTACATCTTCAATATCAACCACACAATTCCATCTTTCTTTTTAATTTTGGGTGCCAACACCCCATATCCTAAACTTGGAGGGAGTACTCACTCTGTCCCAAAAATAAACTTCCAACTATCCTTTTTGGGTCGTCCTGAAAAGAAAACAAAATATCACATTCGTTTTAAGGAAAACATTAAAAGGCTCACATTGTTTTCTCAGTGCATAACTCTAAATCACACCGTTTCACCCTTTCTTAAACTCCATGAAAAATGCAAACATGAAGTTAATTTGGGACGAGAGTATAAACTATAAAATAAGTGACATGACTATTTATTTAGAAAAAGGATTAAAGAAAGTAAGCTAAAATGAATAATCCCTCTTAAGAAAAAGTGAAAAAAAACATATCCCCTGCAGAAAAAGAGAAAAGAATACTCCCCCAGTCCCCAGAAAAGTGTCCTATATGGAGTTCTATATCTCTCGCAAAAAAAAAAAACTTTTGTTTGAAGACATTTTTATGATATCAAATATTTTTTTATTAGAAAAAGGTAGGCCAAACAAAAACAATTGTACCTTGGTGGTTAAGGATTCTTTTCATGGGACAACAAGAACAACATTACACCAGTGCCTCAAAAGCTCCCACCCATTGCGGGCTGGGGGGGGGGTCGGATGTACGCAATTGACCCCTATATTAAAACATAGAGCGCCTGTTTCCAGATGCCCCAGGATCAACGTTGAACGTTGCATTGACTAACTTTTACTCCACTATGAAAAGAAGCACAACTAGTTTAAGAACCACTTTGCTTTATTCCATCTTAATCCAAAGCCAAATAATTGTAAATATTTGGCTCCATTGAAGAAGATGGATTAGAATTTACGACAACAAAGAGTAAGCATGCCGCTGCGACAGATACACAAATAAAAGGGCAATAAATCATATGGAAGCATACCAACCTGGGTCGTGGTCTCCAAAAATAATTTCTGACAATGCTGTACTACCTTCCTCTCCAGGGTACCCAATCCATAGAACGCCAGAAATCCTGGGGTCATTCTTAGCGAATGAGATATCAAGGGGTCCACCACCTGTAAGGACCAAAACTAGAGGTTTTTTACAGGCACTGGCTACCTTGTTAATCAGTGTCATTTGATTTCCAGGCAATAGAAGACTATGCCGGTCACGATCTTCAGTTTCTTGGGATAAATCCAATCCAGCCACAACAATGACATAATCAGCATGCTTAGCAACAGACACAGCTTGAGCAAAACCCTCAGTGGAGTTGCAAACAATGTCAAAGCAGCCAGTAGCATAAGACATATTTTGTATATATTCTCTGAACCCATCAAGAATACTTTTCAGGGAGCACGGTACTCCTGCAAACCATGAAACTGTCAGCATGCTACAAAGACTCAAGACCCGTGTATAGGTGTATGGTGAGGCTTAAAGAGGTTTCAGATGTGATATGTCTAGATATCAACACTCCCTGTTAGAAGCTAGTTGGCTATATATTTTTCTTGTTAAGTTTCTAACGTTTTGCTTTCTCATTTATATACCCTTGTAACTAAGTCCTTGATTGAATAAGAGAGAATTTTCCCCTTTCCACATTTTTTCTTCCTCGTTCATCTTTGGTTCTTCTCTGTGCGTCAATAGAATCCAACATGGTATGAGAGCCAAGTTTGATTCGGGTTCGGTTCGTCCTAGTATCGGCCTCAGGACTAGCTATAAAGAGATTGAAATGCTAGACCCATTCATCCAAGTAGTAGGTAGAACAGGCTAGTTACCACTTGAGGGGAGGGGTGTTGGGGACCGCGTGTTGGGTTTATCCCACACCAGAAAAATTAAACAAATTCTACCCCCATATAAAGAAAGGTGAAGCACTACCCATTGGCTTAAGGCTTTTGGTTAGAAAGTGGATCTAGACTTTATATGGAAAAGTGATCAAATATCACCCAACACTCCACCTGATTCACCAGGCGCACCGAAATTCCAACATGGTATCAAAGCTAAATTTCCACCCAAATAGGGTGTTTTGATTGGGAGATATCAATCCGTGGATTTGATACCTCCTTCACGCTGTATGTGGCTGTGAAAAACTTTCATTTCAAACCCATATTATTTCTTCTAGATTTCAGAACTCATATCATATCAAACCTCCAAAACTCACCAAACGGGTCCTCATTATTTATCAAAATTCACTAGTTTGTTTTGGGTTAAAACTTCCCACCTTAAAGAGGCCAACTACATAGACGAGAAATTTAGGTGTGTTTCAAGGGCCTGTCTCAGCAAAAAAAGTGAAACTAATCTAGATATGAAAAAAAAAGTTAAAATAAGTTTTTAATCCCTGCACATTTAACAGTGTTAAGTCCTGATCAAATCATATTTTTGCTACTCATCCCAGTAATTTACCACAACTTATATTTGATCCTTCCCAATCAACCTCAGTTTAAAGAAACTTACATGAATTACATTATTCCATCAGAGCTTGACAAGTATTTTTTTTTAAGCTCAACATGCAGGAAGTCCACATATGTTGCTAAAAAGCAAAGAAGGCTCATGTAACTCAAGTAGCTTCCTACAGAATGGAATTTTCATTCAGACAAAGACACAATGCATATTCAAACACCCTAGAAATGTTGAAAGAGACTAAAAAGAAAATGTGGTAAAATAGCGGGAAATGCCTCTTTTTTGAAGGGGTAAGATTGCCTACATTACTACATATGGACCCAAGAGTTGAGATTATACTGTGTTTTGTTTCTTTTTGTTATATATATGTTCTTTGTTGTTCTTGTTGAATATCAAAATCTAATTCTACAGAGACCTCAAACAAAAAAAATTGATTTCTTGTAAGGATGAATGACCTGACAACAAACCTAGTATTATCCTAACTTTGTTTGGATCTTTTGGGGGTGAGGGGAGGGGGGGTACCGCAACCCTACCTTTAAAAAATAGAGGTTTCTCCATTAGACCCTTGATGCATTTACTGCTCAAGACTACATAGACAGTAATAAGGGAGTGATGTTTAATGTGTCATTTTGATTTAGTCCATAACTAAGACAATGGATAAACATATTTAAGACAAAAAAAATCAAATGGTGTATTACAATTTACAACATTCCTGTGCGTGAGAGCTTCATACTGGTAACCATTAAAAAAATAGATGGAAAAAACTTGCACAAATACATCCATGCCATTCAAAAGCAAGCATTTATGTTTTTATGAGCAATTACTTTCTTATGGGGACCACATTTATGAGGTGTAACTCTTAGATGTGAGAGGTCTGCGTACCTGTGTAATCACCACCAAGACTGCTCGTGTTTGCCATGGGACCAATAACAGCAAGTGAAGAGACACGAGTCTTATCCAAAGGCAAAAACTTCTGCTCATTTTTAAGAAGCACAATACCTTGCCTTGCTGCATCAAGTGTCAATCTTCTGTGCTCAGAACTGCACACGTCTTGGGGACCAAACATTGAAAACTGCCTTCTCCCAGCACTTCCGTCAAAAAGTCCAAGCCGAAATTGCACCGAAAACAGATTAAAAATGGCTCTATCTAGATCGTTTTTTACCACAAGCCCATCCTTCAGTGCAGATTTCATATGTCTCAACATGTATGTTCCACAATTTATATCGACTCCTATCGAAAATCTTTCATTAGAACTATTGGCAATACAATCGAACAAGACCAGTAAAATGAGGATGACCTGCTTTAAGAGCAATTGCAACTGCTTCTTCAGGAGTTTTCACGTGATGCTGATATTCATATATGGTGGCAACAGCATCACAGTCAGAGGCAATGTATCTATATGAATGAGAACAGAGGTCACATAAGATCCTTTGGTGAATATTTTGGTTAAGTCTTTTTAACATGGGAAAAAGAAACTGTTACCCTTTGAAACCCCAATCTGTTCGAGCCTTCTCTAAGAGAACCTTATTTGCACAAGCTGGTATCCCATTTACTGAATTATATGCACACATCAAACAACTAGCGCTACCCTTTTGAATACAGCTTTGAAAAGGTGGCTGATACGTGTCCTCCATATCTTGCCTTGTCACCTTAATGCATAACAAAATAATCATCAAGTTTTTTTTTTATGTGGGTAACGCTATTGGTCCTTGTCTACCATGATTAGGAAGTGAATATTCTACTACTTAGAAGTTGACATAGAACTAAAACTGGCTGGGTTCAGAAACAGATATTGTTATCTTGAACAGTAAGCCCGTAATTCAAAAGTACTCCCTTCGTTTTATATTAGTGATCCCAATTTCTGTTTTGAGTTGTTTCAAATTGGCAAATTTAGTGTTCTCATGTTCTAGTTTGGAAAGCGTCCAACTATTAAAATACTATCTCCGTGATGCTTCTTCACTCTCTCTCTTTTCGAACCCCACAAGACCCACTTCTCTTAAATTTTTCTCTTTACCTTTTCACCATCTTTCTCTACGCTATACCAACCCACCCACAATCACTACTCTTAAACTTGTGCTTAATTAAATGGGAACAACTGAATGAAATACAAGAAGTCAAGAACTCTTAACATAATGACGCAAATAGTCAACAAAATAAACTAAACTTAGTTAAAATTCTGTGACAGAAGGAAGTTAAAGAACACAGACTACTTCAATCAAATAATGCAGTAAGCATAAAGTTTTAGCAATGAAAAGTTGATATCAAGAGTGGCTTTAACATCTAAAGATATTAAATGAAAAAGTAATTTTTTATTTAGCTAAAACGTAGTACTTTCTAGTCATATTATAATACTTTTAAACCCATTGCCTACCAAAAAGTAATACCTCTACACAAATAAGTAATACTTTGATATGTAGAAAAGAGGAGCAATGGTTGTTGTACAATGTATTACAATCCATCATATATGTCATACTTTTTAACAAAATAAAATACTTTTCATTTCAATTACCAAATTGTAATACCTTTTAGCAAATATATTTGAAACATGCATTAGTATTCAACTGAATACATATTACTGTACTTTGTCAACTTTCCTGATTGTTTTGCTGTAACTTGATTACTTTGAAGAGGATTTCTGGCATTACATTGTTTAATACTCCCTTTGGAACAAGTAGCAATAGTTTTGAACTAAAATGTCCACAGTAATACTGTTTTTGAAAATAAGTTGCATTTATAACTTCACTTGAAGAGTGTCATTTTTTAAAAGTATTGAGTCATACTCCGTATTAACTTTAATTTTTGAAAAACTGTCCAATTTGAAAAAAAGAAGCCAATTTTCAATATGTTTAACATTTTTTTACTAAAAAAATGAATAAAAAATAAGTGGAATGTATTAAATTTCGTGGACTACTCTATATGGAGTATTTAATAATTTCCAATAGTTGTACTTTACTAAAATAAAATAGATGTCCAGTCATCCAAAGTGGACTATTTTTATGAGACCGAGAGAGTACAACTTCACATAAAATTATTATGATGCATTTGTGTGGTAGCAAAGCAGGGCACAAAGAATCGGGATGATCCACTCGTAAGAAATCACTTCCTATGCAAAAGACACCAGCAAGTGTAGCATAACAAATTTTCCGGTATTTACTGAAATACAGTAGTTACAATCTTTGATTGAATCATTTTCCCTTTTTCCATTTGCTAAATCTATCCATTTCGAGAAATTTATTTATGACTTGCAAGTTTCTTTGTATGAATTACTTATTCTTTTTCAGCAAGATTTCTATTTCCCCCTCCCTCATAAGGGACTAGTTAGTAAACATTAATTAAGGGTGATGGATCAGACATATAGAGTACATTGATTACATTGGAAGCTAGCAATATGCAATTACTTATAAGCAGCTTATAAATTTAAAACTGTTTATCAGCAATAAACAAATAAACACAAGCACAGAGAAACACTCTCTTCTCTTAGTAAGATGGACAAGCTTATTAAGACATGTAGCAGCAGTTTAAAAGAGTAACTTTACCACAGCATTGAAGTTATATCTGGCAAAGTCATGCCATTTCTCCAAGTTATAAGCAGTTAAATGCTTACAACATGCGGACAGCATCAACCTGCCATCCCCTTTATCTCCTTCTCCATTCCCACCATGAGAATACTCTTCGCCATTTTTACCCTTGGAATTCCTCAGGCCTTGAAACCCCCTAACATACTCCACTGCATAATCAGAAACCACCATCGGATCCTCTCCCGGAGTCTCTTGCCCTCTTCCCCATCTCGGATCCACAAAGACGTTCACATTCGGAGCCCAGAAAGTCAACCCGGCTTGACCCGAATTGTACATAGCCAGGGCCTCCACAGCTGTGGCGGCGGCAATCGACCGCCACAGAGTGCGATTGAAGGCGGAAGCTGCGAGGATGACCTGCGGGAATACGGTGGCAGATTTCACGGCGCCGTCAAAGGTGACCCCGGGCCCATTGGCGGCGACGCCGTGGAGGGACTCGGACCACCACTCGTAGGCGGGGATCCCCAGCCGAGGGATGGCGGAGTTGTTGTTGGAGAGGCGTTGGATTTTCTCATCTAGGGTGAGGAAGGAGAGCAGGGAATGGACTCTGGCGGGTATGCCGAGCGAAGTGTTGCAGAATGCGTAGGAGTCATGGTGCGGCGGCTGGCATGGCAGTTGAGGTTTCCAGTATGGAGCAGCAGGATCAGAAGACTGTGCTAGAAATGCAAGTATAACTATGAAGACGAAGAGGAGGGTTCTGAACTTCATACTCAATCAACAGAAAAAACGCAACACGAAGAGGGCAATGCCATCCTTTGCATACATGTTGTTGATGAAGACACATGAAATTGCAATAATATCCACGCTCCATTTTTTTTTTATCTAAGCTCACTCCCAAAATGCTATTCTAGATTTCTAGCTACACTTCAAAAGAAAATGGCATAATAAACATTGTTTCCTTTCTTTTTAGGGCCTGTTTGGGAATAACGTTAGATATTAGCGTTAGCGTTTTGGATAAAATTTTAACGATGCAGATTACTTTGAAAACGCTAACGCTAAATGCTGCCCGTAGATAGCCTTTTCAAAACGCTAACGCTAATCGCTAACGTTATTCCCAAACAGGCCCTTAATCTTATCCTAAATACTGATTATTCTTGTTCACTTTTTAAAAATTAATTTGTTCTCTTTGACTCTATTTAAAAAAAAGCAGTGAAAAGATCCTCACAAAATGTTGAACAATACATTGAGTGGAAAAGATTTGTTTAAAAGAAAAAACAAAATGAGCCGCATCTTTTCTATTCGAAAAAGAAAGAACAATAATTACAAATTATTATTTCTTTTTACAACAATTACAAATTAGTATATTTTTAATGTTTTACTTTACTTTAGTCTTTCTTTCTGTAACATTTTCATATTTTCTCAACATATGTTATGCCGGATGGATCTATATTAGGCCACTGAAAATGGTCGTAACATCCGGGGTGTTTTTGAATCGTGCTTTTAACGCCTTGGGGCCGTTAAACACCGCCATCCAGGGACATTTCTTGGATATTATCCTTCTTGCGTTAAACGTTTAACGTAGCAGAAGCGAGTGATTATGTATGTTGAAATAATTCTATGTGTGACTTCAACTGTTAGAACCTCTCATTTTGCGTGATAGATGAACGTATAATTTGTTTTACTTGGTGCCTTTTATCATTTGACTTTTATAAAATAAAAAATGTAAAAAGAATTGTTTTAATATTTTTGAGACATACCAAAAATGAAATATTGAAAGTATTTAGGAGAAAGACTTGGTGTCTTTTACGTTGTATCATTCTAGTTTTTCCTTTTTCCTCATTATTTTAGAAAAGTAAGTGTTTCATACACAATTTTTTTAGAATAGTAAATTTTTCATAATAACTCAAGCCCTTGCATGTAAACACTGACCCCTTATTAAATAGACTCCAAAAAATTGGCATCAATGTTTACTCCCTTTTTCTTTTTTCCTCCTTATTTTAAAATAGTGATATTTTTTGTAATTTAAAATAAAAAAGGAAACTTTTGGAAATAAATACAACACAAATCCTTGTAAGCAGTGACCCTTGACCAGAGTCTTCTCGTGTTCTCTTCTCGGATCCAGCCTTCGCGGATCCTTTGCTAAACAAGTTTAATCTAAGTTGTTTTGAATTAACACACAACTCTGTTGTTTTGATATTAGAATTCATACAAGTGATATATATACTCTTTAATCATTACTCTGTTAGTAATTTTAAATTTTTGGATAACTAGATAAAACAATATAAATTGTGTTAAATCAGTAAATTCTAATGCAAAATTAATATTGCTAGTCTTGGGTCATTTTTGTAATTATTTCTATATAAAAATGTGATTTAAGATTAGGTTTGTCTGGTCGAGACATCGTTATAACTATATGATTGATATTGATTTTAAAAAGTAAAGAAAGAGCGAGTCGTGAAAAAATTACAAATATGTTTTGGGATATAGCATAAAAGGAAATAAAAAGAGATTGCAATTTTAAAAAGTAGAGTATACATTTTTTAAATTAAATAAATATTTTAAGATTTTATATTTTTTTCAACTCTTTCAACAAAAATTCAACTTTTTCCATTTTCCTCCAATTCTTTTCAGTTTCTTTCAACTTTTTGTTTTTCAATTTCTTCCAATTTCTTTTAACTCTTTCTAGTTTCTTCTAATTCCTTTAGGTAGTGTTTGCGAACTAGAATTTATTTGAAATCTTAGATTTCAATTCCAACATTTGAAACTCTAGGAAACTCATAGAATTTCAATTCCGGAATTTAAATTTTGAAGTCGGCAAAGACGGTAACGGAAGCAGATTTATATGTACGAAATTGTTATTATATAAGAGAAGATCACTTTTTAATTACAAGTTTTAAATTAAAGAAAAATTAAGTTTGAATTTGTAAATAACATGGGGAGGGGTGTGGATTTGTAGTTGAGTTAGTTCTGAATTAGAAGAATTTGGTTCAAATCTAAATTCAAATTCTTTGAGTTCCCAAACAAGCAATTTGGATCAAATCTGGAATTGAAATCCAAATTCAAGTTTCCAAACACACCATTAGTTTATTTCAACTCTTTCCATTTTATTTTTTTTGCAACTTCTTCCAGTTCATTCCAATTTTTTCCAGTTTCTCCTAACATTTAACTCTGTTTTTCCAACATAAAAGATTAGAGTCTTGGTATATTAAACTGACACAACATTTTCATTGATTTATTTAACACACAACATAATTAATTTATGCTATCTATGATTACAAGACATACAAAACAGAAACGAACATAGACCGAATTGAATTGAACCTTAAACCCCAAAATAAAGTTTATTATTGAACCAAATCACAAGTTTACAACGAGACACTCGATTCCGCGCAACGGGCGTGCCATGACTAGTGTCTATGTATATAACATGAAGTTGTAGCATTACTATATTTATTCATGGACCATTCCTTGTGCACATCATTTTTTGACACGAAGAAGAAAAAAAATTCATGACAACATTAATTGTCACGTGAAATTTTTTTCAAGATGTCAAAAAATGGGGTGCATAAGTGTTTCCCTTTATTTATTTATTTATTTAATTTTTTCCCATATATATTAAAGTCCCCATAATTAGCAAGGCTTTTTGCAGAAGCACTTGGAGTTCTTGAAGAAGCCGGACCCAGTGGGTTTGCACTCGCCGTTCGAAAAGTGCTCATAATCAACGCATTGCTTGTGGCAGTCGCTGTCACGCCCACAATACCCCTTGAAACCCGCGCTCAGCTTGTCGCACAGAGCCGCATCGCTGCTTCCCATTTCTGCGTATCATAAACACTTTTAAATACAATTTTACAACAATAAAATAAATTATTGTTGGCTTCAATTTGCACTCCCATGATGGATATATATAGAACCAATTCTCTGTAATTACTTTCTTAATTTATCACTTATTCTTATATATTAGAATCAGATCAAATTTAAAGATCAGAACTTAATCGAACTAGATCAAAACCAATTAGCTAGTTTAGTTGAAGAGAACAAACCCTCGCCCTAGTATTGATTAGTCTTTAGATTTAAAAACAATCCGTTATAATTACAATCACTATATATCGTACCAAATTAAAAAAAACAATAAATTATAGTGGTATAAACTAAATCAAAACTAAAAATTGTTGAGAACATATATATATTCTCAGCTCATCAATTATTAATTACAAAATCAAAACTAAAAATTGTTTCAAATACTTGAAACATTGTCTCGTTCATGTTCGACGACGACCCAGTCCTTAATTATTAAAATTATGATTAAAAAAGGATGGAGCAACTAATTAAGGCGCGCTAACCAGTAGCAAGGAGGAACAACACAAAGAGCATGGAAACTGCAACTGAACGAACTGAAGGAGCCATTTTCTTTCTTTGAGGCTAATTGAAGAAGAGAATTGTTGTGTTTTTGAGGAATAATATTATTCACGTTATTGTGTGTGTGAGAGAACCCTCGTGTGGCTACGGTAATGGTAATTTATAGTGGTTTGTACTTTGTCCTCCCTCCCTCACCCAACAAATACTTGCTCCGTCTCAGTATTTCTCCAATTTTGATTTTTTACAATTAACTATGATTAAAAAAATATTTTCAAAGTATTTTAATTTACTCCCTACAAGATAAATATGATAAATTTAGGATTGAGTGTGGATAACTGGATTGGGTAACAAGACACTCGGGTTGAACCACATTAAAAGATTGAATCCAATCGATTAGTTAGTTCAACTCAAGGGCTTATATACCAGTTTATTTTCTCTTCAAGTTCCGATGTGGGATACTCTTTTACAAAATATATCCCGGAGTAATTAAATTATTCTTGTATTAATATTTAATATAAATTTTATTTAAATAATGAACGAAATTTATCAATTTTGACACCTAAAAGTCAAAACATGCTATATATACTCTGAGACGGAGATAATACAAGATAAAGTTCGTATAGTGTAAATCCAGATACACGATATTTTTAATACATGCAAGGCATGCACGCTTTTAAGCTAGACATACAAAAATAATTTTATACATTTATTATTTGGAAAAAAAATTAAAGTAGGAGTAAAATATTAAACATATACCATACCAACATAGGAGTTCTATGCTTGTCTTTCGTTCGCGTGATCTAATCTGATTTTTGAAGATCTCATCTAGTCTGATCTGATCTGGTTCAATTTTTGGAGTTCACACTGCTATTGGTGCACTACCACAGTCACCACATTGTCACATTGTAACTGTCACATTTTAAACGTTAAACTGCCATCCGTCGCCGCCGGCCACCGACTGCCTTTGCAGATTACCAGCGGTTGACTGATCACACTAACTTATTACATTATCATCACTTTTCCATCACACTGTCAATGCGTATTCTTATTACAGCACACTCTCATTATACTCCGATCCTATTTTGGTCTTAAAAGACATAATACTCCTATTTTGGTATTTTCAAACTTTTTACTCCTATCCAGGGACATTTTCCTTTTGTTAACACGGAATATATAAATTGTACTTTTTACTTTATTTTATTTAAATTTATAAATAAAATAATCTTAAAATGGAGAAAAGACTAAAGTAGGAGTTAAACATTGACAATATACTAAAATAGAAGTTTTATTTTTTACTCCCGAAATAGAATTTAAAATTCATTTACATTTCCAATCATAATTATAATCATTTACATTACCAAAAGTAATTAATGAAAATTTGTTTTTACTTCTATTTAGGGTTATTTTTGTTTAAAATTAAAGTAATGAAATTTAGCACATTGTTTGAAGTGAGAGGATTAAAAGCTAATGGATAATATACACTCCTCTAAGTCGATTCATCATATTTCGTACTCCCTCCGTCCCCCTGTATTTGTCCACATTTGACTTTTGAAATTGTTCATCTAAGCACTTTGACTTATCAAATTCTCTCAATGTGTAAGCCTAAATATAGTCATGTGTGATCTTGTTTGATTTGTCTTAACATATAGATTATTAATATATAATTTTTATAATTTTTTAATATACAACTTACAAAATAAAATGGATTAAAGAAGTGCATTGGATGATGTGTAAAAATGAAAGTGGACAAATACAGGGGGACGGAGGGAGTAAAACACATACTACCTCCGTTCCGGAGGATTTGTCCAGTTTTGATTTTTTCCGGTCAAGTGTTTTTAACCTTTGACCTACAATTAAATATAATGATATTTTAAAAATATTTGATATAATAAATGAAATAAAACTAATTTTGTATCAATATCTAATATCGTTTTTATTTAATTTGAGGTCAAAATCTACGAATTTTGACCCAAAAAAAGTCAAAAGTGGACGAATACTCTGGGACGGAGGGATATATGTGTATCCACTCATATTTCGTAGAACACATATATGTGTATTTCATAATGTGTTTCTAAATGGATTCAAACCTAATACTCTGTATATATTATCATTTCTTAATATTTTCCTGAAAAACAAATTTTCATAAAGTTGAATTGTGAATTTAATTTGAAAAGAAGTGAGTATGTTTCATGGGTTAGTGTTTCATTTTGAAATATACCCCATATCATAATCAGAAAAATAAAATAATGTTATACTCACAAATAAACTCTAAAAATTCACAAAATGTTGTGCATATATTTTAAATTTTCATTTTGTTGACTTCTTGTTTATTGTTCTTCAATTCGTTTAGATTTTATATATTCTAATTTTTTTGTTAAATTGCAAAGAATGTATTGTTAAAATACAAATACGAATTCACATAATTTAGAAACTATCATTACCCTTTAATTCCTTTTCTACACTAATACTTTATCATACGATATTGACACTCCGTGTGTTCTATAATTTTCTTTTTTCTTTATTTTTTTACGGGCCATCAAAACACTATTTTAAATATAGATATCTTCATTTATATATAAATAAATATTACAAAAATATAAAGTACGAATTAATACTCTATTTAATATTTATATTGATTTTGTACCAAAACACCACATTCTTTTCACAATTGTTTAAAGTGCTGACCAAAACAAGTTAAACAAGACGGATGGAGTAGGTGGTATTTTTGTTTGTCTTTATGTCATCTTATCTTATGAGATTGAATTCAATAATGTGCGCGGGCGCTAACGGTTGGGAGTAATGGTGGCCTAAAAACATAGACTCAGTCAATTAACGACGCTACGTCCCTACCACAATCCAATTTCTCCCTTCTTTGAAAAAATAAATATGTGAATGTAATGATAGAATTTAGGAACAGATAAATATGTGAATGTAATTGATTAGTTAATTCAACTCAAAAACTTATATATCAATTGGTTGACTCGATTAGTTATGACAATCAGGCCATTTTAAATCTAACCGGATGACCATTTGCAAATGGACTCTCTTCTCCTTGATTTCTTTTTTGAGCGCCAACACCTAAAGGACTACAAGCCGCAAGGTGTATACTTTCTGACGAGCAATCTTGTTAAACAGGCCACAGACCGTTGGGTGCATACTCAATACGAAAAACTGGCTTAAAGACTAATTAACGGGCCGCTAGGAATGAATGTCTAGACGGACATCTTGACAAACGAGGTGGGCCAAAACCAACTACGATACCATGATAGAATTTAGGATGCGGTAAGGATAATTGGATTGGATAATAAGACACTTGAGTTGAACTACATTAAAATATTGAATCGTATCGATTAGTTAGTTTAACTCAAAGACTTATATACCAATTTTTTTTTACTCTTCACCTCCCGATGTGGTATAACGCTCTAACATATAATTGATTTTCCCATTTTCAAATAAATTTTAACTATTAGTTTTTTACTTTTCATATATTTTTCAACACTTTTTTTTAATATTCGGAAAATTAAAATGTCAGGTTTATTTGGGGAGAAAGACGGGTAGTAAATTCGTCCTTCATACTTCATAGACGCAAGCCACTTTGTTTGACAATTGACAAGCATGTGTTTCATATGAATTGTGCACCATAACTCCATAAGTGACTTTATTTAATTAATGATTAAAATTATCATTTTTAATTGCTAAAAGTCAAAATATAATAAATACTCTGGGATTGAAAGTAATATAATTTTTATTTTTAAATATTTAAAATTTATCTTGCAAATTTGTTTCAGTTTGCATAATGTAACAAACATTGTACAATGGAGGGAGTTCAAGATTGTATTCAACGATCTGTGAGGGTGCCAAACACATGAGAGTAATAGTAGCCTAAAAACATAGTCCTTATTTCATCTCTTTCCAAATAAACTTTTTGATGCGAGAGAATTTCCAGCGTGTCGTTTGACACAGAAAATCTCTTATCATAAAGTGAAGGGTGTGAAATGAAACGAAAAAATGGAAAAAGCTAAAGAGTAAGTAAAGTGGTAAAGTGCGTTGTGATTCCTGACCAATCACGATACCCCGTATATACGACATCTGCATCTCACCACTATACTCACTAACTCACCCATACTTCTACCGCCTTTTCCATTTCCCATTTCCATTTCACATTTTCACCCTACCACTTTTTGATTGGATATTTTTGGCGTCAAATGATACGCTGCAAATTCTCCACACAAAAAAAAACATAAATGATTCTCTTTCGAATAAATTTTGACCACTAACTTTATATTTTTCACATATTTTTCAAAACTGATATAATCATGTGCGCCGATCATAGCGTGAGGGGCAGACACCCGTTCATGCGCGTTTGCGCTATAGGTCCAACACACAAGCTACGGGCATTACATCTTTAAATAATTAAGTTCATGATAGAAAGAGAAACCATTATACTCATATGTTGGACTTTTATTTGTTTCGTTTCCAATATGGAAAAATCGTTCAACAAAAATATTTTGTAATGTCTAAAACCTAATTAAAGTGTGAAGTTTATTTAGAAACAAACAAGCATACATGTTTGACACGGCATGATATTAAATTGGTCCTTGATAGATGCAAGCCACTTTGTTTGACAAACATTTAAGTGTTTCATCTAAATTGTACACCGGCCATCAGGAAATTAAAACCCGTCATTTCCTTTTCTACATCAAACCAAAATTGATAGCTCCCCTCGACCTGATCTCATCTTTGACATATTCAACTTTGGTGTTCTCGTCTCTCTCATCTCACCAGATTGAATTCAATGGTTTGTCACTAGATTTTTATTTGTGTGTTGCATGCCCAAAAAATTTGTTTGAAAATACTGTAACATTTTTTGATTATCAATTTTTTTTGAACGATGGATTATAAATATTTGATTACAAATATTTAAATATAAGCGGATGATTTACATTGAAAGCAAAAAAATTACACAACATAACATATTGATAAAACATTTGCAGGTTATTCTTAGTATTGAACTAATATTTCATCCATGCGTGGCACAGAATCATGTAAATTTGTAAAATTTGGTAAATTAAAAATTTAAATATTATTTTTTATTTTAAAATAAATAATGTGAAGAAATTTAGTATATATATAAGCTATGTCGAAACCTACCTTTATCGGAAGAAACTTATTCAATGGTCACTACTAACCGATTTTGGTCCTAAATATTTGGGTCTACTTTTTCAAATAAACATTGATTACATTTCTTTATGTTATTTGTGCCAATAACCGGTTTATGGATGACTCCTATAGG